AAAGATAAAAATTATGAACAGCAAATAGATATCTATCAATAAGTGAATCTAAAAATCAAGTGAATAAAAAATCTGATGAACAGAGTAAACTGGTGAATATAATAGAACCAGGGGCATGGAAAGGGAGTGGACTGACAATTCTTGGGGGGAAAGGGGTGTGGGGTGCAGGAAGAGACTGGACAAAAATCGTACACCTATGCATGAGGACAGTGGGAGGGGTAAGGGCAGAGGGTGGGGTGGGAACTGGGTGGAGGAGAGCTATGGGGAGGAAAAAGAGGAACACCTGTACTAATCTGAACAATAAAGATTTAATTTTAAAAAAGTGAAAAAATAAATAAATAAATTACTTATTATTTTCCTAGAAAAATCAGAACTGTATTTTTGACCTTGGTGGAGTGGGCCTTAACGCAGAAAGATGGCAACCCATGTTGATTCCCTAGTAAATTTCTCCAAAATATCAGTTAGCACATAAAAATACTGAAAAGTTCTGTGGCTAATTAAGCAAATTTTTAATCAAAAGAACAATATAATGTCTCATTATTTAAAAATATATATGATCATGCAAGTATCCTCTATTTTGAACCTAAAACAAATGAGTCTACTTGTATGCATATATGCATAACCCATGGCCACAGACATGTAATACTTTCAACAATAAAGATTTCTAAAAAATAAAAAAATAATAATAAAATAAAAAGTAAAAAAAAACAGGAAAAAATAAAACAAATGAGTCTAAATATAGACATAAAAGATTTTTACAAATAAACTGTTTTACCAGTTTTTAAAAGTATGTAATGTTTATTCTTTAGCCTACCTAGCACATTGAGAATTCCCTCATTATAGGCTGCAAAGAGGCGAAGAGAATCCTTAAAGAGGAGCATGAAAGCAGCATGTATTATACGATTAGTTAGGTCATTTGCATTTGCCTGGAAATTAAGTAAAAGAGTAATCAATTATCACCACAGTTAAAAAAAATTTCTTCCCCCAACTACAAACAATGCCATCTATATTAATAAAAGCCTAGGTGGCCCTCGTGCCCTCATGTCATCACAAGATGGCCACCATAAGTTGGCCAGCAGGGGAGGGCAGTTGGGGGCGATCGGGCCAGCAGGGGAACAGTTAGGCATCAATCAGGCGGCAGGGGAGTGGTTAGGGGGTGATCAGGCTGGCAGGCAAAAGAAGGTAGGGGAATCAGGCAGGCAGGCAGGTGAGTGGTTAGGAGCCAGCAGTCCCGGATTTTGAGAGGGATGTCGGACATCCCCCAAAGGGTCCCAGATTGGAGAGGGTGCAGGCTGGGCTGAGGGGCACCCCCCACCCAGTGCACAAATTTTGTGCATCAGGCCTCTAGTTTACCAATATTTTGATAAAGGATTTATAAAGCTCTTACATTAAAACTAAGAAGAGCATCAAACTGAGTTTGAATAACTGGAAGTGTGTTTAGCAGGTCTTTGGTATTCATATTTCTCATGAAGCCATCCAGCCTATAAAAGATCAAAGAAATTTAACATTAATAATTAAGAGTTTTAGAAGCACTATGACATCAACATCTTGAAATACAGTTGTTGTTTTTACAAACTACATATTAGAGCACATATGTATTTCTGTATTTCTTGCTTACAAACTAATGATATTTACTGACCCTCTCTTGGTTTTGGTGACATCATATCCGATCAGTCTATATGCGAGTGACTTTTCATTCAAAAACCTGCTGTATCGTCTGATGAAGGTGGACATAGCATAGCCTAAAAAGAAAATATTTTCATTATTTCTAATTTAACCAATATTAACCATTTGCAATATCTATCTACACTAATAAAAGAGAAACATGGTAATTGGCGTATGACCGCTACCCTTTTCATTGGCTAATCAGTGAGTATATGCAAATTAACTGTCAGCCAAGATGGCGGCCGGCAGCCAGGCACTGAAGCGAGCACGAGGCTTGCTTGCTGCAGACTCCAACGTTCCCCGCCTCACTTGCCAGCCTCTCATCTGCAAGTCTAAGCAACTATATACTATGTTGCAAATAAGAAGGTAAACAAAACCCCAGAAAACAGCCGGACTGAAACCCAGCCGGACCGAAACATTGTATCCATGTTTTCAGCAGCGAGGCCTCAGAGCTAAAGCTGGCCCAGAATAAAAAAAAAAGAAAAGAAAACAAGGAGCGGTTGGAAGCTTCAGTCACTCGCCAGCCGGAAAACAGCCCTCAGCCCCTCACCCAGACTGGCCAGGCACCCCAGTGGGGACCCACACCCTGAAGAGTGTGTGACCAGCTGAAAACAGCCCTCAGCCCCTCACCCAGACTGGCCAGGCACCCCAGTGGGGACCCACACCCTGAAGAGTGTGTGACCAGCTGAAAACAGCCCTCAGCCCCTCACCCAGACTGGCCAGGCACCCCAGTGGGGACCCACACCCTGAAGAGTGTGTGACCAGCTGAAAACAGCCCTCAGCCCCTCACCCAGGCTGGCCAGGCACCCCAGTGGGGACCCACACCCTGAAGAGTGTGTGACCAGCTGAAAACAGCCCTCAGCCCCTCACCCAGACTGGCCAGGCACCCCAGTGGGGACCCACACCCTGAAGAGTGTGTGACCAGCTGAAAACAGCCCTCAGCCCCTCACCCAGACTGGCCAGGCACCCCAGTGGGGACCCACACCCTGAAGAGTGTGTGACCAGCTGAAAACAGCCCTCAGCCCCTCACCCAGACTGGCCAGGCACCCCAGTGGGGACCCACACCCTGAAGAGTGTGTGACCAGCTGAAAACAGCCCTCAGCCCCTCACCCAGGCTGGCCAGGCACCCCAGTGGGGACCCACACCCTGAAGAGTGTGTGACCAGCTGAAAACAGCCCTCAGCCCCTCACCCAGACTGGCCAGGCACCCCAGTGGGGACCCACACCCTGAAGAGTGTGTGACCAGCTGAAAACAGCCCTCAGCCCCTCACCCAGACTGGCCAGGCACCCCAGTGGGGACCCACACCCTGAAGAGTGTGTGACCAGCTGAAAACAGCCCTCAGCCCCTCACCCAGACTGGCCAGGCACCCCAGTGGGGACCCACACCCTGAAGAGTGTGTGACCAGCTGAAAACAGCCCTCAGCCCCTCACCCAGGCTGGCCAGGCACCCCAGTGGGGACCCACACCCTGAAGAGTGTGTGACCAGCTGAAAACAGCCCTCAGCCCCTCACCCAGACTGGCCAGGCACCCCAGTGGGGACCCACACCCTGAAGAGTGTGTGACCAGCTGAAAACAGCCCTCAGCCCCTCACCCAGACTGGCCAGGCACCCCAGTGGGGACCCACACCCTGAAGAGTGTGTGACCAGCTGAAAACAGCCCTCAGCCCCTCACCCAGACTGGCCAGGCACCCCAGTGGGGACCCACACCCTGAAGAGTGTGTGACCAGCTGAAAACAGCCCTCAGCCCCTCACCCAGGCTGGCCAGGCACCCCAGTGGGGACCCACACCCTGAAGAGTGTGTGACCAGCTGAAAACAGCCCTCAGCCCCTCACCCAGACTGGCCAGGCACCCCAGTGGGGACCCACACCCTGAAGAGTGTGTGACCAGCTGAAAACAGCCCTCAGCCCCTCACCCAGACTGGCCAGGCACCCCAGTGGGGACCCACACCCTGAAGAGTGTGTGACCAGCTGAAAACAGCCCTCAGCCCCTCACCCAGACTGGCCAGGCACCCCAGTGGGGACCCACACCCTGAAGAGTGTGTGACCAGCTGAAAACAGCCCTCAGCCCCTCACCCAGGCTGGCCAGGCACCCCAGTGGGGACCCACACCCTGAAGAGTGTGTGACCAGCTGAAAACAGCCCTCAGCCCCTCACCCAGACTGGCCAGGCACCCCAGTGGGGACCCACACCCTGAAGAGTGTGTGACCAGCTGAAAACAGCCCTCAGCCCCTCACCCAGACTGGCCAGGCACCCCAGTGGGGACCCACACCCTGAAGAGTGTGTGACCAGCTGAAAACAGCCCTCAGCCCCTCACCCAGACTGGCCAGGCACCCCAGTGGGGACCCACACCCTGAAGAGTGTGTGACCAGCTGAAAACAGCCCTCAGCCCCTCACCCAGGCTGGCCAGGCACCCCAGTGGGGACCCACACCCTGAAGAGTGTGTGACCAGCTGAAAACAGCCCTCAGCCCCTCACCCAGACTGGCCAGGCACCCCAGTGGGGACCCACAGCCCCTCCCCATGGCTGGCCAGGCCCCAGAACTGAGTGGGCTGGCTGGCCAACCTCCCACTATCTCTTCCTCCTGACAGGCCCAGTCCTGATCCCCCCTGATTGGAGCCAGGCCAGCCGGACCCAACCCGTACATGAATTCGTGCACTGGGCCTCTGGTATGTCAATAAATGCAAAGACCTCTCATTCCACATTCACCCATATACCTCAACAATTATCTTTGAAGTACAAAAGCTAGAATAGCCTTTATTAATCATCTAGTCCAATATTCCTCAAATTTCTACTGATTATTTTTTTATTTCCTCAAAGCCTTGATATAACCTCATGATGTGGTGCTGATGGTGACATTCCTGAACAGAGGAAATAATTAAACTTTATCGATTTCTTTCACATTTCTACAAAAACTCTTGTAAATTCTTAGCATTTTTCTAAAACTCCCCATCTCATTGTAGTCATCCCTTCCCTACCCTCCCTCCATGCAGAAAATGACCTTGTTCCCTACTTCACAGGCAAAATAGAGAAAAAGGGGCCATGAAGGAAACTCAACTTCTCACTACTCAACTTCCAAACATACCTTTTTAATAATATATATATTTTTACTGATTTCAGAGAGGAAGAGAGAAGGAGAGAAAGACAGAAACATCAATGAGAGAGAATCATTGATTGGCTGCCACCTACACGCCCCACACTGGGGATCAAGCCTGCAACCTGGGCATATCAAACTGTGACCTCCTGGTTCATAGGTTGGCGCTCAAACACTGAGCCATGCTGGCCAGGCTCAAACATACCCTGATTCATTTATTCAATTTATTTATCCATTCAACTGCCTACTGAGCCAGGCACTGTTCTAGATGTTGGAAGTTCAAGAGTGAAAAAAAATAAACAAAAATCCCTGTCCTCATGGTGCTTATATTCCAATGTAGGACTCATAGACAAGCAAAAGAAAAGAAAAACACAGAGATGGCTAGTGAGAAGTGGAAAGGATAAAACTCAGGCAGAGAGGGGACATAGGGTTGTGCCACGAGTTTTGGAAGACTGAGCAACGAAGGCCTTACTGAGTAAATAGTGGACAGTTCAGTTTCCTCTGACTTTAGCATATTCTGTTATTCTTAGTAAGTACTCAAATATTTTGTACCAATGAATTTAGAAATTATTTACCATTATAAAATGTGTAACACACCACACCCTTTATAATTTAGAACCATTTTCTTAAACAGGCATGATTTTCAGAACTTTTCCCTCCTTGCTACGTAGAAATATTTTTTTTACATATTTTTATTGATTTTAGAGAGGAAGGAAGAGGGAGAGAGAGAAAGAAACATCAATGATGAGAGAGAATCATTGATCGGCTGCTGCCTCCTGCACACCCCACACTGGGGAATGAGCCTGTAACCTGGGCAGGTGCCCTGACCGGGACTCGAACCCTGACCTCCTGGTTCACAGGTCGCTGCTCAACCACTGAGCCATGCTGGCCGGGCCACATAGAAATATTTCCATAAAAGAAATATGTCCATTTTAGACATATTTATAGAAATATTTCCATAAAGAAATATAACCATCTTACCTTCTACGACACTGTTGTCCAGGAAGCTGTGTAAAGTGAACAAAGAGCTTCGAGATGCAAGATGACGGATAAAACGCTGTCAAACAAATGTGCCAAATCCAAAAATTAGTTTGTCCAGAAATAGAGTTCATTAACGATTTTGTCATTGGGAATGAATTCTTAACATAATTCTATCCTACAGCTTCTATATACTTCATGAGCATTAAGGTGAGCAGGATCATATCCTGCGCTACACAGCATAAGGGCCTGCAGTGTTGTCCTCTGTGCATATACCTCCCAAGTACATAAAGGATTAAACAGCAAAGCTCATGTGTATACACATGCTTCCCCCCACCCCCAAGACTTTCTATCTAGCCATTCTCCCTTTTTGATTTTTGGAACATTTACTTAATTACAGAATTGATTATTTTAATTAATAGTAAATCACTTAATACTTTAATTTACAGAAAAATAAAATTTTTATACATCTGTGTACCCCACCCCACTACCCAGAAATGACAACTGCTTTCTGACATATCTGCTTCTTCAAGTCTGTTTTTAAAATAAGAGGATTAAAGTATTACAGATAAAGTTAAAAATGCCCTTAGCCTCATCCCTAAGGTCAATTTCCTTCTCCTACCTGAAGATAGCTGTATTGTGATTTTAATGTGCTATCTTTAGTCTATTTCCTTTATAGTGTCATATATTATTTATTCCATGGAAAATATTAAGGGCATTTTAAAAACTTAAATGATATTATACTCTACCATTTTGTAACTTGCTTCCTCTATTAGCATTGCTTTTTGAGATCTAGCCTCGTTGGTATAGATTGTATTTCATGCAGTGTAGTATTTCATTGTATAAATGCACCTCATTTTGGTTATCTGTTCCCTATGATTGCTATTGGGGTGATTTCTTCTTTCTAAATATTATAAACTAGAGGCCAGGTGCATGACAATTCATGCACTGGAGGGGGGAGTCCCGCAGCCTGGCCTGCCCCCTCTCACAGTCCGGGAGCCCTTAGGGGCGGGAGGCAACCCGGCGATCAGGGGAAGGCAATGCCCCCATCACACCTCTGCTGCTGCCACTGCCGGCAACACAAGCCTTGGACAGCCTTGGTTACCTGAGCCTTGGGCAGCCCTGGGCGGCTGGGCAGCTGCCATCCGAGGCTTGCCTGCGCCTTGGGCTGGCCCTGGGCGGCTGAGGGGCTGAGGGGACTGGGGGACTCCCTGGCCGTGCTGCACGCCTGCTGCCCCCGCGGGGCTGAGGGGACTGGGTGCTGCCATCTTTGAGGGTGTGGCAGTCAATTAGTATATTCCCTTTATTGGCTGTGGGCGCTGCCATCTTTGTGGGGGCCTGATGGTCAATTAGCATATTCCCTCTTTATTAGATAGGATATGCTATGAGTAGTGGGCTTGCTGGGTCGCTGGGCATTTTCAGTTTTACTAAACATGTCTCAATGCTTTCCTTTGACAGTGATAAACTGCAACAAATAATATTTACATGTCATCTAACATTTTCTTAAGGTCTTCACAACTCTTGATGCTGCCATGCATTTTCAATTTTGCTTCTCTGAGCATGTTCTCTGATGGTTATCAGCCACTCTGGTTTCCTTTTCTATAAATTCTCTGTTCGTTTCTTTTGTTCATTATTCCATTGTACTGCCCTTTTCTTATGGATAATGTATTCTGAATATCAATCTTTTGTCTGTAATATATAAAATCTCATTCCAACTTTATGGTGTCTTCCCTACTAAAAGGTCATCACCATATTCTCCTACATTTTCTTTGATTTTAAAATTTAGGGTTTTGCATATATAGATATTTCCTTCATGTGGAATTTATTTTGGTATAAGGATTAAAATAAAGATCTCATTCTATTTTCTCTATACGAATGTTACTTGTACCAAAGACTTTATTTTAAATTTCATACATTCCCCCAAGCTCCCATACAAGCAGAGTTCTACTTCTGAGCTCTCTCTACTGAGTTCCATTTATATAAATGCTCTATTTTTATCAACACCATATTATGTAATTACTGTTGCTTTATAATAAGTTTCAAAATCCAGGAAATTTCTAAATCCTAATTTTTTTTAAAAAAATTTTTATTGACTTCAGAGAGGAAGGGAAAGGGAGAGAGAGAAAAACATCAATGATGAGAGAAAATCATTGATTGGCTGCCCCCTGCACACTCCCCACTGGGGATCAAGCCCACAACCCAGGCATGTGCCCTTGACTGGAATCGAACCTGGGACCCTTCATTCTGCAGGCCGATGCTCTGACCACTGAGCCAAACCAGATGGGGCTAAATCCTAATTTTTTAATGCAAAGCTTACTGAGATAAAATGTTAATTTGAAGTAGAAAATAATAATTTGTTATAGAACACTTCAGTTGTTCTATAAAATACAAAGAGTGTTTGTATGTGAGGTGGACAGGTGATGTAATATACTCAGGTATCCAGTTTCTCCTGGTAAAGCAGTTATGTAGAAATACATTTATTAAAAAAAATCTTTATTGTTGAAAGTATTACATATGTCCCTTTTTTCCCTCATTGATCCCCTCTAACCCACCCCCACCCGGCCCCAGGCCTTTACCACCCTATTGTCTGTGTCCATGGGCTATGCATATATGCATACAAGTTCTTTGGTTGCTCTCTACTCACCCACTCCTACCTTCCCTCTGAGATTCCGCAGTCTGTTCTATGCTTCTACATCTCTGGATCTATTTTGTTCATCAGTTTATTTTGTTCTTTAGATTCCACATATGAGTGATTTCATGTGAAACTTGTCTTTCTCTGACTGGCTTATTTTGCTTAGAATAATACTCTCCAGGTCCCTCCACGCTGTCTCAAAGGGTAAGAGGTCCTGCATAGTATTCCATGGTATAAATGTACTACGGCTTTTTTATCCACTAATCTAATGATGGGCATTTGGGCTGCTTCCAGATCTTAGCTATTGTAAATTGTGCCGCTATGAACACAGGGGTGCATACATTCTTTCTGATTGGTGTTTTGGAATTCTTAGGATATATTCCTAAAAGTGGGATCAAATGGCAGTTCCATATTTAATTTTTTGAGGAAACTCCATATTGTTTTCGAGCACCAGTGCACCAGTCTGCATTCCCACCAGCAGTATACTAGGGTTCCCTTTTCTCCACATCCTTGCCAGCACTTGTCATTTGTTGATTTGTTGATGACAGCCATTCTGACAGGTGTGAGGTGATACCTCATTGTCGTTTTAATTTGCATCTCTCAGATGATCAGTGACTTTAAGCTATTTTCATATGCCTCTAGGCCATCTGAATGTCCCCTTTGTACAAATGTCTATTTAGGTCCTTTGCCCATTTTTTAATTCTTTGTCTTCCTTTTGTTAAGTTCCTTATATATTTTGGATATTAACCCTTTGTCAGATGTGTAACAATACATCTTTGAGGGCTTTCTTTTTTTGGTCTAAATCAGCGGTTCTCAACCTGTAGGTTGCGACCCCTTTGGTGGTCGAACGACCCTTTCACAGGGGTCGCCTAAGACCGTCCTGCATATCAGATATTTACATTACGATTCATAACAGTAGCAACATTACAGTTATGAAGTAGCAACGAAAATAATTTTATGGTTGGGGTCACAACATGAGGAACTGTATTTAAAGGGCCAGAAGGTTGAGAACCACTGGTCTAAATCATCTAAAGAATTGAGTGAAATATCCAATCTATTGTCCACTTTTTTATCCAGTAGCTAAAGTAATAGTATGTACCTCAAATACTGATTACAAAGATATTCATATGCAAAAAATAAAAAAAAATCAGTTTTTTTAATACCCACTGCTATTACTTCCCCTACTTGTCACAATTGAAAGTAAAAGGTGGTTAAGCCTTTGCCAAACCAAGAACATTTCTGCAGTTGGAAAAGACTACCATTGTATAAACACCACACTCACCTCATTTCCATGCACCATAAGATGATGAACAGTAACCAGAGCTTTGAACACCACCACCCAGCTGCTGCTCTTCGCCTTCTGAGAAAGAACATCTGCCAGGCGTTTGACACCCATATTTGATGCATTAATGTAGTGAGTGAGATCTAAATTAGAAGACAGTGACAAGCATTACAAAGCAGGCTGAGAACTAACTTTTAAAACCAAAATCGTTAGCTTTACTGGAAATACAGATGCAATCAAACCTCAGAGAACTAACAAAGGGAATAATCCAGAACATTTTCTGCATTATAAGTATCAATTTGTAATGACATATTACATGACATTTAATGCCTGTCTATCCTATTGCTCTATATACTTGATGATGGTAGGGACTGTGTCCGATTTGGTCACCACTATATTCCCGAGACCCAGCACAGTAGTTGCTATCTAACAGGTTATGGTAAATAATTGTTAAGTGAATAGGACTCAAGAAGGTAAAGTAACAGCCCTAGCTGGTTTGCCTCAGTGGATAGAGTGTCAGCCTGAGGACCGAAGGGTCCCGGGTTTGATTCCGGTCAAGGGCACATGCCCGGGTTTCGGGCTCGATCTCCAGTAGGGGGGTGCAGGAGGCAGCTGATCAATGATTCTCTCTTATCATTGATGTTTCTCTCTCTCTCTTCCTCTCCCTTCCTCTCTGAAATCAATAAAAATATTTTTTTTTTAAAAAAAAGAAGGTAAGTAACGGACATACAAATAGTTAAGTGGCAGGGCTGGGCTTTGGAATCAGGTTTGTTTGACCCTGGACACCAAGACATTAATCATTACGTGATAC